ATGGCATATAGCTGATATTTTGAATTTGATAATAGGCATAACAATATTTAGCAAAAGGGTTCTAATGTGTTCGTGACATTGTGACATCTTCACAGCATGCTCAAATGGAAGCTATGGACAGAACTGCAACAACTCTTGTACTGACAGGTCGTGTGCGGGAGACTCGCCTTGTGATCACGTACGAGGGACATGTGTTTCCGGATGTGAGCCAGGGTGGATGGGTGAAGACTGCAGAGAAGGTGCTTATCGTTGTTTTACAGTTTGAGATAAACATAGGAATATATATCGAATGTGTATTTCTCGACGTGTTGAGTCTCCTTTATGAGTGAGTATTGACAGTGCATATGACACTTATTGAGATGAACTTTTACTTAAATCCATTTATATTTTCTATGTCGGTAACAAGTTATATCACAACATTAGGTTTACACGATAATGTTCCAGTCTGTGACATTGGACGTTACGGAGCTAACTGTGACAAGACTTGCGCCTCCAGACACTGTGTGGGGAACTCTTCCTGTAACGCAACAGGGGACTGTGGCAATGGGTGTGAGACAAGGTGGATAGGAGCGGACTGTACAGGTAATGATCTTATGTCACGAGGGAAGAAGTGTGCAGGAGACTCGCCATGTGATCACGTACGAGGGACATGTGTCTCCGGGTGTAGCCAGGGTGGATGGGTGACGACTGCAGAGAAGGTGATTATCGTTGTTAACAGTTTGAGTTAAAACATAGGAATATATATCGAACGTGTATTTCTCGACGTGTTGAGTCTCCTTTATGAGTGAGTATTGACAGTCGCATCGGCAATATTCCAACGATATAACAACTATCAAAAACGATACGAATATTCTCTGAACATATCTTTGACATATGCAACGTATTGGGATGAACTATTACTTAAATCCATTTATATTGTCCATGTCGGGTACAACTCATATGGCAGTTTCATGTTTACACAATAATGTTCTAGTCTGTGACATTGGACGTTACGGAACTAACTGTGACAAGACCTATTCCTCCAGACACTGTGCGTGGGACTCTTCATGTTACTCAACAGGGCACTGTGACTGTGGGTGTGTGACAGGATGGACAGGAGCGGACTGTACAGGTAACTATGTAATGTCAACAGGAAGCTAAGGCAGTGAGTGAAGAGTTGGCAGTAGCTGGACGGTAATATAGCAAGGTATTTTGTGTTAAAAAGGTTTTGAATATCTGTAAAATAAAGAAATGCAGCATCAAAGGTACGGATAGAAGCGTGAAGAGCAGTGGAAAGTGAAAGGTAATGTAATCGATGCGCTACATCGTTTTCAATTGGAAAGATAGAAAACTTGTCCTCAATACTTTGTAATGAATCATGTGTGGTGAACATGGTTTGTTATGACAGCCGTACGAGTTTGAAACAGTAGCATTCTTGTGTTGTACACTGTCGCATTTATCTCTTTTTCTTAGAAATCTGATCGTCTATCTAATTAGTCTCAGATATCAATGTGCCGGGGAAATAATTCATACACCCTGTCCTGTTTCATTAGAATATTTCGGATCATCTTTTTCAAAATCTATTTTATAGATATGGTTCAGTTTTCTGTATACCGTTATCTCAATACAAATTGAATTTCCATTTGGACAAAGACGATAAATCCTTCTGAAAGTGCAACAAATATTTGTCAAATCGCGTTTCAACCAGTCATATCAAAAACGATTTGTAGGCACGTGTTAACCACTAAAATGTGTGTTCCTGTTTTTGATCGATCCCCATTGTCACGTCAAACCAAACGACAAGGTATTTCATTGGGCTAGCACTCTAAAAAAAGCAATTATCCGGACTAGTAGATTAAGACACACACGTATGCGCGCAAGCACACACATACATGCACGTGTCAATAAAGAACAATAAAATGCAACGTGACGTTTAACCTAAATCCATCTCACTTCACCACATCTGTGATATCTGATTGTTGTCATTTTATTAATCTTTTATTTTTCGAGGGTGGCTTCATTTAATGATTCAAAGCAAATGATAGGAAATTTTTCGAAATAAAGATAGTAAAATGAAATAGTAAAACAAATGTCTTTGATCATTGAGTGATCTTGTCTTTTATGTATTCAGAAGACGCGAGGAGTGTACAAGCAGCCGGATGTAACGCTAGCCAGTTGGCAGTTGCCGTAGCAGTGGCATTCGTGGCCAGTGCTGTATTAGGTGGCATCGTCAGTGTTGTTGTCTGGAGGAGAATGAATAGGTAAATGGTCGCTCTGATCAAAATATATATATTTCAAAGATAAATATTTAAAAAAAAGATGTAATATGTTCTTTCGTCCAAAGATAGGATCATACCTGACATGAATATGGCGTCATATTGGACATTCTGTCTATGTCTCTCATGTACTTGTTTACATCAAGCTTTGAATGTCTTTACGTTCAGGACGCCGACAAAAGACATCTGAATCGCACCCAACCAATGTATCCACCTCTCAAACTGAACGATCGCAGGCCAGTGATTACGTTGGCCCAGAAACTAGGCCATACGACAGTCTCAATGCCGTCTCATATGACGCCAAGATGAAAGGAGAGACATACTGCACCATAAAATCTGGCAAAACAGATTTAGGAACTGATGCCACTGTTCTGACGTCATGTGACGTGTCCGACTCTATCGGAGCAGGGACGTACGAGACTCTTGACAACACGTCACGGGGAACGGATGGTGAATACAGTGAGATCGGAAAAGTTAAGTGACTTTCCATTGACAAACTTACTGTTTAAACAAAATAATATATTGGTACTTGTACCTATTGTCAGGAAAGGTGCCCATCAACTCTAAGATTTATCTCTTTTTTAAGGGTTTAAAATTGTAATAAATAAATTCTTAATTTACATATTTCTGTAGCGTTAGGTGTCTATTGGTGCTGCAAGCGACCTCACACACTCAGACACTACATGGCACAGTTACAATGTGAATTATGTTCAATTAGTGTTTTGTTAGCATAAGGCATATAATATATTATGTGATACATCTTATGCACATGATGAAGATAATATCATTTGAAATTCAATTATGGTTTCAATATTTCAAACATGTAACTTTGGGGCAGACACTTAATGCATTGAATGAAGCTGTATTCTTACATCGGGAAATTAAAAACACTATCACACTAATGTTCAACATTTAGGCCCTGAAGCTGGCCGATATGCTGTACAACTGGTTTCAAAAACTTAACATTGTATGTTTTGTTAAACTTCAACTATGCACGCATTTGTATTAGTTGTGTTAATGCAACACTGAATTGTAACGGGATATTTGATTAAACAACATATGTTCCTGCATGCGTGGTTTTGTTTCAAACAGATCACATGATTCAGCATTGGCGGTGAGTCAGAACTTAACACTTTGCTGTAACTCAATGTCCCCTGCTGTGAACTGTGAATAGTTTTACAATTATACTCATACAACGAGACTTAACATAAATGTATTTTTATTTTTCTATATTTAATTTATAGCTGGTGTTTGTAATAATGATGACACCACCTATGTATGTAGTCGGTGAACTGAAATACATAGACATGACAAATTTACATGATCTGTAAACTTGTATATATATATATATGGATTGCGATAATATACATATATATATTTTTTTTTAATTGGACGTTTACACGATATACGGCTTTTCCTCTGAACGAGAAGTCGGTCACATGACCGCGAAATTGACGGTCATAAATGTATGAACAACACAATTTGACGTTCATACGTTTTTTCACAAGATCGTCTTCTTGAAAGGACGTAAACACTGACGGACTACTTCCACATTTCTGGGGAAACCCCTGGGAATTCCCTAGCACGAAAACATGCATAAGCGTTCTTTCTGATCATTTAGAACCTTTAATCTTGGTCTCAGCGTTTCAGTATACATTGAGAAACGTGATAGAGCTTGACTGCATGATTGTTCACGAATATCCTCGCTACTGCCCATCCTAATGAACAAACGAAGAAATGCACATCCAATAATGCAATAAAATTGTGTTTAGATGTTGGCCTATACTTAGAGGTAAGAAATTATGATAAAAAAATTATAAGAATTGACTTTCACTTTGTGTGGGTTTATTGGAGTATGGCCCTCACTCTATGAAGGTTCATACTCCAATGAACTCACACAAAGTGAAGGTCAATTCTTAAGTATATATATCGTAGAAACCTGTGTTGCCGCATGTCACACTATAAATGTGTCAATGTGTTAACTGACCCAAGCAATTTAGCGACGGTCTATTTTTTTAAAAATATCTGTAATAGACGATTCACTTCATAAATTGCGATTATGTATTATTATGATGATGTTATATAAACAAATGTTATAACAAAATAACAATGTTACATTTTTAATGAGGCATGTCAATATAATGTTCACATGCTTTGCTGACAGGAAAATAGTCCACGTCGTATTTCATCAAAAGTCATTTTATTATTAATTACCTCCCTTCATAACAAGGGAAGCTTTGTTGATCAGAAGTAAAGTCAATATTAAATTATCACCCTTTCTTACTGGAGGCGCTTCAAAAGCGTCTATTATTATGTCTCTAGGGCGCTACAGCTGTACAAACATATTTGTGTATTCATTTTGTTTGTTTGTATTTTGGTTGTTGTATTTCATTGTCAAGTTATATTGCATATGAAAACACACCAAGTAAGTTAATAGGCTATGTTGTGCAGACCAAGCAAACCACCTTTCACATTTTGTAAACCTAGGTAAACCCAGAGTAGTATTATGTGTAATGGGTCATTCTATACGTAGCCTCCAGCCCTGCTTGTAATCTCTATGCACAAGGAGACTTTAGCTTCATTAACATTTTATGACTATGATAGTCACATGTTTGTTATTGTTTTAATGTCTCACTACGTTTTCTGTGTATGAGTTATGTGTATAAACTATGTTAGTAAGAAAACATGTGACGACAGTAGTAAGTCTAGAATTATTTACTCAAATTCTAAAATATATCACTCATATTTGAAGGGTTGGAAAGCAAAACAGCCTAAGTCCTACTTAGGCTGTTTTTGTATAATTACAAAAATAGAAAGTACTCTTTAAGCTCTATTACCTAAAATATAACTTTTCCCGGATTTAAATGATTTTTAACCAGAAACAGCGTCTCAAAATATGAAAGATTGTGCAAAAATGACCTTAGTCATACTTAGGTCGTTTTCGCCTGTAAGTACTCTAACTTAGGTTGTTTTGCACCATAACTCTTCTACAAAGAAGACAAAAAAAGACATCGAAGCACATGGTGTCCTAAAAGGGTCGTCTCCATATTGCCGAATTCTTGACTATATAAGGTTAGTATCAATAGGCTGTTCATGAGACTCTTTTCATTTTTCATCTATAATTATAAAAAGCATGAAGACAGATATTGATTCATCATTTGGTATTAAGAAAAGTCAATTTTGGAATTTTTGACTAAGGCTGTTTTGGCTTGAACTGCTGGAAGAGTGTAATGAATAAATTGTCACCCTAAAACAAGCATTTTAATTATTTATATCAGATGTAGACTTTACATATTTCGTTTAATATGTGATATTATACACATTTTTGTGGATTATGGTTAAAAATATTGTCAAAATTCATTTTGTCTTGCAGATTTCTGATATCCGATGAACAGACTTCCTCTTGAAGTTTTAGTTGAGATATTTCAGTATCTTCCACCTTGCTACATCATAAGAGATGTAGCTGCTGTCAACAGACAATGGTTGAACATATCTCAGAGTAGATTGTTATGGTCCAAACATTACTACCTTGATCTTCAGCTTTGTGACTGCCGGTCTAAAAGTGAGGAACACATAGATTTTTCAAACTACTTACCTCTATGCACAAACGTGACAAAACTACTGCTCACAACAGTACATGTGTCCTCTATGCAGTGTGTTGGCCTAATGAAAAGTCTGAAAGAACTAACAGTCTCAGGATGGACAGACTATGACGCATGTGATGTTTGTCATGGTATTGAAATGTGTTCGCGTTTAACACACCTAAAAACTCATGGGCTTATAGAAATCAGAGAAGAGGATCAAGTTGAATTTGTCAATGCCATGCCAGACCTTCGATCTGTGGAAATTTGCAACTCTGCACCTATATCTGTACTGAAAGCACGTCAGATGTTGAATGGAAACAAAAATCTGGCCTTTTTGGGGATTTTTCCAAATGAACAAACATTTGAATGGTCTCAATTAGTGAATGAATATGTGGGTGAAGTGTGTTTTGGACATTGTATAATGCAGTTCATCCCAGATTCTCTTCTAACTCATCCCCGATGGGTTTACTCAATATCCTATCCAAAGAGATTACAGGTTTGTGACAAAAGTGAGTCTGCCTGACTGACGTATTGTTTTGGGATGTAAGTCATGGAGAAACTTACAACCGCTGAAGTTGTCCAGATGCTATTCGACGAGGATAGTGGAACTGACGATCAGAGTGGTTCAGTGGCAGAACTTCTTGATGATGGGAGTGAGACTGCAATAACAAATACTGTTAACTGTGTTCTTGAGAGGGAAGAATGTTCAGATAAGGACATGACATCTGATGATACTTCCTCTGCACATTCTGACACGAACGACTCAGATTATGTTCCTGATTCCCAAGACTCCTCTAATGATGAACCTCTGCAGAGTCCCATGAATTATCAGACCAATATCTTGACAGATGTGATTCATTCTGTCGCAGATGACTCAGTTCCATTGCTTGACAGTAATATAGTTGCTGCGCAAGTTGATGTTCAGGACCTTGAAGGTGTTGGTGTTTTAACAGCAGTTGATGCTTCCTCTGTTCCACATCACAGTGAGCTTGTGCAGGTAGCGAATGATAAAACTGAAGGGAGTCATGACATATGCATGAAGAGACGACGTACTGCAAATCCAGACACTTGGAAAAGAAACATTCGAAAGAGGAAAAGATCCTTAGGTCATGAATATCTAAATTATAAAAATCAGATGGTTCCAGCAAAAGGGTTGATTCCGAAAAGTTGTCGAAAAATGTGTTTTGAGAAAATGGAGGATAATGCAGACACCATTTTTGAGGAATTTTACAGGATGGCCTCCAAAAAGGATCAGGATCGGTATCTTTTTGGATTGATTGATCGTGGAACAGAAAAAAAACAGTTCAGAAGCAGAAGTAATGCAGAAGGTACAAGGAAGCGATCATGTCCATTTAAATACCATGTGAAACTGGCAGGTGGAGAGAGATTTGAAGTTTGCTATGGATGTTTTCTGCAGGTTCATGCTATTGACAGGGCACGGGTACGACATCTTATGGACACTGATAATCCAATGTCACCTAATCCAGACAAACGTGGAAGTCACACACCTAAAAACAAAACACCTGATGATGTTATCTTGAAAATCAGGAACCATATTGCCAGCTTTCACCCTCTGAAGTCTCATTATTCACCAAATGACAATCCACACAAACAGTACTTGCCTGCTAATCTCAACATTAGAAGAATGTGGAGAATATGTGTAAAAGAACATGAACCCGAGGCATGGGAAAGTATTCTGCAAGGTGAAAAGTACAAAGGACAAATTCCAGAACAACAATACCGGAAAATATTTAATGAGTACTCTCTGTCCTTTGGATACCCAAGAACTGACACATGTGGAACATGCGACTTGCTGGAAGCCAAAATAAAGGTTATGGAAAATGATCAGGAGAAGGCAACACTGGTAGAAGAGAAAACTGTGCATGTTACTTAAGCAGATCAGTCATATGCTGAAATGAAAGAAGACAAACTTCAAGCAAAAGTTTCCTGGAACGATACACATCGCACCTTCGATGAGGAAACTTTGTGTTCAAGGGCCACTGTGGACATGTATTCATTTGACTATCAACAGAATTTTATGCTTCCAAACCTTACTCACACAGAAATGTATTATAGCAGACAGTTGAACGTGTATAACTTCGGGGTACATGATCATGTCAATGATGATGGTATTATGTGCATCTATCCAGAAACTGTTGCCAAAAAAGGGGGTTCTGAGGTTGCTTCCTGTTTAAGAAAGGTTCTTCAGGAAAGGAAAACTGGAGCCAAACAGTGTGTATTCTATTCAGATGGCTGTGGCGGACAAAACAGAAACCATGACGTTGTTTGCTTTTTTCAGAGTCTCATTCACAGTGGTGTTTATGAACGAATAGACCACAAGATACTGCTGAGGGGGCACACTCGTCTTGCAAATGACAGAGATTTTGGTCTCATTAAACAAAGAGCCAAAGTTGAGAGTATCATCACTCCAGGTGATCTCAGTGATGTTATACAATCTGTCAGAGTTGGTCCTAGCCCATTTTCAGTAACAGAAATGAAAAGCCAGGATTTTATGGACTATCGCAAATTAAACCAAGCTAGTATTAAATCAACTTTCAAAGATCAGAACGGTGCAAAGGTTGCCTTCTCAAAGATAAGGTGGTTCAGCTATGGAATGAGCGATGTGAAAGATTTTCTGACAGGCGAAATAAAACAAATCTCACATGAATCTGAAGTGTGGTGTAGGTACACCCATGACCATAGTGAAGCCTGGAAGAAGGTACATGTGTTAAAGCGAAGTGCCTTTTCACAAAATCTGTCACGGAAGTATTCAGACCTCGTCAAACTGAAAAAAACCAAGTGGGCAGACATCAGCAAACAACTGCCTTATATTTGTGATACAGCAAAACGTGCCTTCTTTGAATCTCTCCCTCACGAAGACGACAATGAAGAGAATCAGGATGAGGAACAAGACTATTGTGATGACAGCGACTAGACGTTTTGAAAAGCACAATAAAAGATGTGAATGTGCTGTGTATTTTGCATAATTCAAGAATGTTCACAGCGGGAGCACAATGTATTGCTGATGGTATTTTAAGGTTTTTGCATTTCATGTTATACTGTTGGATATTTTTTTGTCCTATTAAGGCTTAGTTTGGACAGATTTAATGATTGAATTAAAAGAGTGTTGAAGTGTTTTAGAGGCAGAGCAAAAGAACTAAGTTCTTTGTATTTATTTTAATCAGGGATTGCTCAAAGCAGTAGCAAAAGTATTAATTTTAAGTTTGTGTTTGCATTTAAATTGAATGAAGTTATAAGATGAAGATTTTAATATTCGTTTTAATGTTGAACATTTTGCTTGGGAAGTGGTAGTTAAAGGTTTATAGTTACTGTTCATGCTATTTTGCGTTGAGAACGTTGTAAGAGTTACATAATTAAAAAGCACCATCAGGGAAATGATACTGGGGATATAACCTGTACAATGCAAGTGTTCATGATGCACCCTCTTACGGTGTGTATTTAGCAGAGGAACTACCAAAGAACATGTATTGAATGATCCCCTCTTGAATAAAGATGCTTTACTATTTCAAAAACTGTATATTTATCTTCTGCTTATGATTGATAGCGTATTGATGTTTGGTGATGCTTCATTGACTACTAGAATATCATGTAGAAATTTTATATGGAAACTATTGTGGTTTATCAAATATTATTTTTCTCATATAATTATGACGAATCTCAAGTGAAACAAGTTAAAATATGATTTTAAAAAGAAATAATTTTGACTTAGGTTGTTTTCCTACAGGATTTTAATGACTAAGGTTCTTTTGCATTTGAAAAATTCCTTGACTTAGGCTATCTTGCCTTAATCTTTTTGCATCAAAATACGATATTTTCCATTTTCCACGATATGAACAAGTAACTCTACTGTTCTCTACCATGGTTATAATTGTTTTCTTTTTTGCTAAACGTTAGCAGAAATACTTTTTCATTTCCTTGTACAATTTAAAAAGTACCGTTTTTTGCCTCTCCTGTAAAGTTGCAAAAAGTGACTTAGGCTGGTTTGCTTTGCAACCCTTCATTTGTATTACTGGACATAGATAACATTTACTTGATTTATTGCTTTTCGTATATTATAACATCTTTGACTTTATATTGTAACTATATACGATCACCTGCGCTCCATCAATAAACGGAATCAAAACTCTGTGCCCACGGTTTCCTTCTCTTTTCAAGGTTCTCCAAGTATACAATTCCCGGTACCAAGCGAGGTCTCTATCTATTCACTGCGATAAACCAGCAAAGTGGGGCGTTTCCTACAACTGTTTATCTCGAGTAATGTTGAGAGTGAAAAGGAGAAGCATGAAGAAGTCACTAACATGGAACCTATATAACGTTTATAATTGTATGAGTTGGCGCCTCTACTGCAGTCCATAACAATCGTGGTTGTCAGGAGTCCAGTGGTGACATCATGCCACAATGGACGAGTCTGCAAATCATAATGGGCAGGTTTACATTGGAGTTTGGATTTAGTCCAGCTACATTCTGTTACTGGATAACATTATCTGATCTGAATAGAAATGAACTGATGACACACTTTATATAGGCTTTATTGTCTTGATAGATATACGTGTAATTTCAAAGACCATTCAAAACGTATTTTATTACGAATTTAGAAATTATGCTTTTGGAAAATTTATTTAGCTTGGTTCGAAAACAAGTTTCTTGCTTTGACTGACAGGCTCTAACTTTATTTAAAGCAAATTTGTTTTCCGTAGCTTCAGACTCTGGAGGCTCGTAGATGTACGTGAATATATTTGTAATGTCACGTCAAAACTGTATTGATACGGTCAAGAATGATTAATGATTTCATCATATGTATCTTTTCATTCATTTGATTGTTTTGTTAAGACCATATGTGTTTTTTTTGTTGCGAATGTAATAAGCGAATAGTAATTAGTAATTAACCGAAACATAAACATAGTCAATCATTAAACAAATAAGGGTTAGACCTCCAACAAGTCAAACCAGGTCACTTCATATACAATTAACATTTTAATTTAATATGGGACTAACTAACCTATAACCCTCTATCGGCTTCGAAACTTCAAAATACATTTATTCCATTTGAAGGATGTACCTGAAGAAGCAACTGAACTCGTTTTGAGGGAAAGCATATTTGGTCTAAAAAATGTTCTTGCAATTTACGTAAAATATTTATTTTCATTTAGTGCTTCAAACTAAATGGATCACTTCCTCTTCCAATCTCCCATCATTTACTTCTTATGACGTCATCAAACTTTCACTCTTTTCATGACGTGCGCCATCGTCCACTACGTTCTGCTAACAATATCTCTACCACGTTTATACTGTAATTCTGTACTTTTGGCTTTCTTTTTCAATTCCTCAACTTTCGGCTCGAACTTTTCGGCTTCTCTTCACAAATTGTTACTTTTGGTTTTCAAAAGCCCAACGACGCAGAGGATAACTGACAGCACAGGAATGGCAGTACCTGGCACGTCGCGTGGGAACCGTGCATGGGCAGCATTCTTCGTACCATGTTTCCGACAATCGTGTAGAAGTTATAATGTTTCTGCACTTGTATCGTAACTATTGTAACACTGACACTCAGATAATACCCTCTATGAAAATACCGATCAGTAGGTCAACATGTACATGCCACAATTGCAATAACAGGGAAGTAGTATTATTGTCGGGGCACGGACTGCAAGTGCCAATTATCGGGTATGCCTTTAAAGAATGTGTCTCTGGGACCTGTTGACAAAACTGAAATTGTTTTGTGATCATGTGAGTAGAACATATGTTCCCGGATGTAAACAGGATGGATGGACACAGACTGGGTAGAGGGTCAGGGCTTAAAGCACACATATTCCTGGTAGTCAGGGTTAGGGTTTTAAAGAGGATCCCACCACTGCAGACGCAGGTGACTGTAAGCCGAAGTACATCACTCACAGTGACGGGGGGATTCGCCAAGTGTTCTCTGTGGAGGCGGTGTTTAAGTAGACCTTAGTCAGTGTGATTATTATCTTGCAATACACACGCAAGTAATAACTAAAGATTATGAAGGATCACACTGAATGAATACATGATTTTTATAATTTGTGTGCCTTAACTATTAATTGAGAATAATATGATATTATTTTAGACCAGTGAAAAAATTATTACATATGACGACGAAGATGCTGTGGTGATGAATGTATGAAAACTATTTCAGAAGTATGAACTTGTACATATGGCCACGATTGTGCCAAAATCAACCGTAACTAACATACACTATGAATTAAATTAAATTTTGAGGCTATGTTACGGTGATCGAATCTACGTTAGACGAGGAACGAATTGCTACAAAAGAATAACATCAACATGATTTTTGGCGACCGTGTCCCAATGCTTAGACTTCTCATCTTTATGACGTCATAAGTGTGTACTCTAGGAAAACAACCATTACAAAGGTCGCTTCAAGAACGTGGTTCAATTATTATGGTAAAAAATTATGTTTTCGGTGCAAGAAACAACCATATATTGATATTACATAGAATCTTTAATTCAAACCTAAATTCGCCCTTTCAACCAACTGAACTTTTTTGCATGAATGTGCTGCAACCATTCACGCAAAGAGATTGAATATCAGACATGCACTAATTTTATAAGGGGTGTGATGGATATTTCCAGTCTTCAACAACAACAAAATAGATAGTATCTGCAAAAGTAAATTGTGAAACTGAAGTATAACTTCTTTTCCTGCGTCATTACCTCAGCAAAACAACCCAGTCATGGCTGACAAAATACTTTTACCTGCCATGACAGTGAAGACAATTGTTGTCGTAGTCCTGGAGAAGAAGACGACGGTACATGATGTTGTGTCCAATAAAAATAATAGATGACACAGCTGCCACATTGGGTCGTGCTTCATAATAATTTGACTATAATATTCTGTAGCACTGATTCGGGTATATATTGGTATGGATAGATGTGGTTAATAGAATGCAAGTGAACCATGACATATCGGCTGCCATGTACCCCATATAAAAATATATAGAATTTGCAGTTTACATGATCAATGACTTCCCTTTGTTGGAAACCCACAGACATTCACAAAAAATAGCTTAGTCTTCTTGTCAGATTTGCAGAATAAATCATTAATTGAGAAAGCAGATATCAACAATGTGCCTGTCCATGGTGTTTTGCTGGTTTGCTGGTTTGTCATGTAGAGTTGTACAAGCTTCTCCATATCCACAAGCTCTAGATTTTGTACAGCTGCGAACCTTCACGGCTATAAACCTATCTAGATAATCAAACTCCGGTTTCACACAAAAAAATAACAATACTAATTCACTGTGTATATATGCATTCTAAAACAATGTGAAAGCATTAGATGAGGATCATATGATGAGTAGATAAGCCAAGCTGACTGTGATTTGATGTGAATATATATCTTCATACACATATTATGTTACACCTGAAAAAGATCCATCGGTTTTTCACTGATATACTGAACCGCAAAAGAAACGCGAGTACTGTGTGACTGTGAAATATGGTTTATTCACAAAGCGACAGAGAGGTCAATTATGACAAGTTTGAGACAGTTCATGTTTTGCATGCACATTGCCCACAGTCCATGGAACGTTCTTGCAAGTTCTTGCTTTGGGCCGATCACACACATGGAAATGGTGGGGTGAGAAATGTCAGTACCTCGTATGTCCTCCCTGGGTGTTCAACACAGCCATACACCTACGGTACATGGAGTGTTGCGGGTCACGAAGGCCATAGACACCTGTGCCCACACCCTGACGAAAGCTGCCTCCGGATCAGCACGAGATCTTGGTGTTGGTACCACCTGGTTCAGCCGTCTCTGTATTTCATCGCACAGGTGCTCGATGGGGTTTAAAGCCGGGGTCATAGCCGGCCATGGCATGGTTTGGATGTTGCGCTGGTGCAGGAAGATCCTGGTGAGCCTGGCCGTGTGGGGACGCGCGTTGTCCTGCTGGAACATGTGGTTCTGGTGAGGTGCGAAGTAGGGAACGATGTAAGGTCTCAGGAACGGTCAATGTAGCGTTGCGCTGTGATGTCATTCCCCCTGCCAGCGCCGATATTGTGAAACACGTGAGGGCCAATTCTCTGGTTCAGGCCTATAGCACCCCAAACCATGATGCTCTGACAACCCCACGGGTCTCTTTCCACGACACAATGGTCCGAATAGCGTTCACCCCTCGTTCGCCACACCCTCACTCTCCCATCAGACGTGGATCCACAATACCGGCTCTCGTCAGAGAAGACAATTGTCCTCCATTGTTGATGCCGCCAATGTCGGTGTTGTGTAGCCCATTGAAGCCGTGCCTGGCGGTGGCGGGCGGTGAGGATGGGCACTCGAGCGGGCCGACGGCAATACAGGTTGTTGGTAGTCAGCCGACGTCGTACCGTATCGTCACTGATCGGTCGCCCTCTAGTGCCAATGGTGTTTCGAGCTGTCTCACTGGCTGGTCTGAAGCGAATCCGTAGGTGTTGGCGGTTGATGAACCGATCCTGCCTGGGCGTTGTCACTCGGGGGCGTCCACGTCGGGCGCGGTCTGCAGTACTGTTTGTGATGTTGTAGCGCTGCTGCAGACGGTGGATGGTGCTGACGTGAACATTGAAAGTGTTGGCCACAACCTGGGACCGTTGTCCAGCTTGTAATCGACCGATCGCTTGTTATCTCTGTTGTGTGGATAATCGAGGCATACCTGCCGCATCAAAATTACGAGTGCCAGAAAGGCAGTTCAAGTTGATGTTTATACCCATAGCCTCCATGAGTTACACGTGCATGTTGGTGTCCACGGCAAAGCATGGTAACTGTCACCCAAGGCCCTGGACAAGGCTGCGTTGTGGCGACTAATTTCAGGCCTCGTTGTACCGTTCGATGGAATGTTTGTCTCACAAACGCATCAGGAACTCACGGAATATTCACACCTACAGTCTTGACATATATTTTCCGCATTTTACCGTATAAAATTTTTATTTTACAATCTCGCGTTTCTTTTGCGGTTCAGTATATAGAGGTTATCACGCTTGTGTGTTTGGGGAGGAGTCTTCAAGTCTGTGCTTAAAAATCGCTTCCCCTCACTCACAAACATTACCTTAACATTGCGAGTTTTCCTGAAATGCGTGCATTAATATTTATTACATCACAGGGTAAGTGATGTGTCAGTC